ACTTTTTATTTTCTCGCCCATTCTTGTAAAGCAGCTTCTGAAACCAACACGAGCAAAAAGGGAAGGGTGCAACTAGCAGTAACATTGTGAAATTGATCCTTATAACAGGGAACTTGTTAACAGGCTTAGCAAGAAGTCCCAAAGAATGGCCATGAAAATAAACATCAGCTTTGTTGATGCGTTTCATATTTGAACATAGATTCCTGACCATGAGGTTATTATTTTGAGACATGATTTCTTTTACTCTTAATTCAGTCCACTCCAGTGTAAAAGAACTCTTGTATGGTGATGATATTAAGAATATATTTTCCAAGTTGTGGGTCAAAATAGTTTAAGGAATAGTTAAGATAAGGTTTGTGACAGTTGTGGACAGAGATTAGCCTTATTAGTTTTATTACTGTTCCTGAAAACTATTCTTGAGAGATTTAAAAACTTTTTAAACAAATATTTATCTGAAATATAAATGAATCATCCAAATGTGGTATTTGTTACCTGAATGTGACTTGAAAGTTATTTCTGAAATACTGTCTTCCATTTAATTCCACCTTAGGAGGTGCATTAGAGCTTAGACTTTTAAAACAAGTGGGATTGTGAGTGATGGGTTCCGAAAGAGTAATGTTGAAAGTAGAAGTTTTTCATGAAGACAGCTACAACCAAGAGCGTGGCCTATAGGTTGTGGCCTCTAATGGTGTGAAGGAAGAGGACAATGCAATGGTTTCTCTGTTCTTCTCCCTTTTTGTTGACATCATCAAAACAAATAACCGTTTTCATCCAGATGCCTGTTTCATACAAGCTCAGTCAAATGATCCCTGTCTGTCATGCAGCCTATTGAATGCTCATCTGGTGTTAATTGATTTTTTTACCCTACCTGTCCAGCTAGAACGGTGATTGGAGTAGAAGGAAGATTGTCCAGGGTGTGCAGTCTCTCAGCCATCTGAGTTCCCCGACAAAGTCATGTGCCACCACCTTCCTTAGTGGCAAAGGGTCGTAGGCACATAAGTTAAGATTGTTAAAAGTCTCATTTCTGTGTCATCATGAATCACAGGTTTGTGTTACTAGGAAAAATCCCTGTGTTATTGCAGGGGGAAGAAAAAAACCCAGAGATTTTGTAACAGGCTCGAGTAGTAGCGAATTTTTCTAAAGTTATGTATGTTATGAGAGAAAAAAATCCATGGTAAATTTTCATTGAAAGCTTTTTATGCAGCACCTAAACACTCAAGGCAGGGTGCCCTTCCTCCTCTTCAATTACGCAGTTTGGGTAAATGATAAGCAGTTATAGTTTTCTAATTAAACTTATACGCATCATAAGGCAGATGCATTGTATTATGAAAAGACTACAAAGAATAAATGTTTTTGTTTAAACAATGGTATTGCCTATAAAGCCATAGAGAAAGTTTATGAACAAAAAAACCCCTTGTACACAAGTGAACAAGATTGTGATCTCACAGGCTGTGAGGTTGTTATTTTGCTGTATTGCAGTGGCTGTGGTCCCATAGCACACGTTTTCTGTGAGAAGCATTTCTGTAGAGGTGTAAGTCCTCCCAAATCTGTCATAGTTCAAAGTGGTGCAACTCTCACTATAGAATTAAAGAAAAAAAGAATTATTTTGACTTTTTCTTCAAGAGAAAACTTTTGCTTTTCAGTGCCTCTTATTTAAAAAAAAATAAGTCTGAAGTTGCAAATTCAAGTGAATTAAGTACTTTGTTTCTAATGCATGTTGAATAAGAGAACCAGCTCTGAAGTCTGTAGATTTCCTGATACTCACTTTAGAAGGAAATAAGAGTTAATCGGCAAAAATGAACCGCATTGAAGATAAACATGTCCTGTGTTAACAACACTAGTAGCAAATCTGCATTTTAATTCTTTTTTTTTTTTTAAGGCAGGATTTTTTGTCACTCTTACTTTTCTAACAAACCATCTTATCCCATGAGTTGCTTTTCTTACCAAAACAGTAATTATTAGTACTTGTGACCCCTCAGATACCACTCCAGATATTCCTTGACATGTACAGGAAAAGAGTCTGATCCAAGTAATGCACCAACAGGTAGGGTTAAGTATGGGTAGGAGTGACATGGTGGAAATTCAACCCACAACATCTCACTGGGCACCTGCCCAGCTGGGGAACAGGAGTTGACACCACTGCTTCCCTCTTTCCAGAGTTGAAGATGCTGTATGACAGTAAGTGGGCTAGGTAGAACCTGCACCTGGGCATGTACCACCCTCTGTCCTTGCTATCACTGTTGCATCCCGCTAAGCTGCTCCAACTTGCATTTTCTCTGGATAGACTTTTTTTTTTTTTTGAGTCTTTTATATCAGGAACTTGCCAGCTATATTGGGGTGAAAAGTGTGTTGTAAATTTCTAGGCCAGCTGCGAAAGACCTCTTTGAAGAGGATTTTTGCAGATGGCCAAAGACTGGAAGAGGGTAGGTTTAGATTAAATATTAGGAAGAATTTTTTCACTTTAAGGGTGGTAAGGCACTGGAACAGGTTGCCCCGGGAAGTTGTGGAGGCCCCATCCCTGGAGGTGTTCAAGGTCAGGCTGGATGGGGCTTTGAGCAACCTGGTCTAGTGGGAGGTGTCCCTGCCTATGGCAGGGGGGTTGGAACTTGATGATCTTCAAGGTCCCTTCCAACCTAAACCATTCTGTCATTCTATTTTATAGATATTGAGGGAAGAGAGGGGCAATTCACAGCTGAATTCCTCTGTGGCTGACTAGTTTGATGCTTTTTAGACCTAATTGTCTTTAAGGTGCCTCAGTCCTAATATGGGCATATTTATTATTTGGAACATAAAGAAAAGAAATTAATCTCATGGCTATAAAACTTGGAAATAACAACTAGAATTTGAACTTGTACCCAGCATACCCCTTCTTGGTTTTATTTGACAGCTTAAAAGAAGCAAGTACAAGCTGTTGCATTCAAATAACATTTATCTCAAGAGTGGTAATCAATGCTCGCTTTGTTATGTTGATCATGTTGTATAATACATGGGCCTAAAAGCATCTGAAATCTGTGAGCTGTCTTTGGCATTGTATTTCTCATTTTTCTTTTCTGTCTTTCCAATTTGCTAAGTTTGCTGGAAATTTCATATAAAGACATGAACAATTCATGCATGCAGAACATATTGACTTCTGTTTTTCACTAACATTCATTGACCTTTTAGGTCAATAAATTTTGAAGTTGACTTAAGAAGTCAATAAGCCTTATTTTAATTTAGATTAAGTTTTAGTCTGATTCAGCACTCTGCTTCCCTTTTTATAAACAAAAAAGAGCTTATAGCAATTTATTATTAAAATGTATGTCAACTAAGAACTGTTTCCTATAGGTCTGGGAATCCCTGGCTGGATTATAATTTTTTGCTGTATTCCCAACGCACCATATGAAAGTGACATTCCAGTCTCCCAGTGCGTACTCTGTCCCTCTCAACTGCTCTAACATCAATTGCAGAAAGTGATACAGATAATTAAACAGAACCGTGTGAATTTCAGGAGCAAATGTTTTCCATCACATTGGAATTTCACCTTACATGAGCAAATTTGACTTAAATTACATTTCCATCTGACATTATTAATTCCATCAAGGAAGCTTTGTGTAATATTAATTACAGATACCAATTATATTATTTCATCTTTCCTTTCCATTGGAGCTTCAATAAAAATTCATCAAGTGAAGGACATGATTATCATAAGAATTTTAAAAATCCACCAAAACTCTTTTACCACACACACACAAAAATGTTAATACCATTGAAATCATGCATGTGAGAGTGTACTTGTCAAAGTTTTGTGCACAGTACATCCATCAGTAAAAAAAGGAACATTTCCTCTACTGCATTTTTGGTTTACTGCCATGGATGCTTTCCTTTGATAAATTAATTTGGCAGACAGGTTCTTAGAGAAATCAGTGCAACTTAAAAATTTTGTGCTTTTTCGATCTGTTTAGTTCATTCAAATGACATTACTACTGGTGAAAAGCCACTCTGAAGTCATGTTAAGTTGCCGTGTTTTGACCTTACGGGATTTTGACCATGCAGTATGGCCAGCTATTGCAATGTCACCTTAACTTTACTTCACATAATTGACAAAAATAGCCTTACTGTTTTTCAGTGGGAAAAAAATGAGCAGAGAAATTATCAAATGATATTTTAGATTTCAGCAATAAAGTAATTGGGAAAAAAAAATTGTTAACTGTGAGGAAATGTATCACTCTAAGATAGCAGCTGATAGCTGGCAGATTCTAATATTAAGACTGGAGCGTCAGCAATGGATTCGACAAATGGACCACTCGGTGGATAAAGAACTGGATGGACGGTCGCACTCAAAGAGTTGCAGTCAATGTGCTAGTGCTTGATTTTAGCATTAGCATTCTGGATCTAGGATACACAGTGATTAAGGCTGTAGAAACAATCCTCTTCATTTTGAATGAAATCCAGTCTATGCTTGTCCTTGCATTTAACTAGTGCAGCTAATTCCTATTCCTGTTCATGTAACCCTAGATACTTTTTTTTTTTTTTTAGGGATTTGGAAGTAAGAACAGAAAAATGGTGTTGCACATGTAGCAGCTTTGTAAGCATTTCTACCTCCCCATTCATAGCTGCTGTGATGAAACTGGAAACAATTGAAATCACCGATGTATTTGCCAAGTATTATTGTGCGTAGGCCATGAAACCGCTGCCATGTCACTTGCCTATTCATGGAAATACCTACATGTAGTTTCAGAGTATCTGCACCTTTGCTTTGACCTGCCCTTCTATTGCTTTGTATTGGCATTGCTTTGTATTGTATTTGTGTCATGTATTGGCATATGGTTGTTTTCACCATTGAATAATTTCCTTTTACAACTTCCATTTTGAATGTATACGGTTGGCTAGTTATTCTTTGTTTGATATAGTTCCTTTTCACTTTCTGTTCAAAATTGCATGATAACTAAAGCTAAGAAGCAATCTTCAAAAGGAATCCATGTTATTATGAGAAATGTTACGGATTTTCTTCTTTATTCTAGGCATTGATTTTAAAGTAAAGCCAGTAACATTTGATGATACAAGAGTGAAACTTCAAATATGGTAAGTTGTAATTTATATCACAAATGAGAGCCAACTAAATTACATTACAGCACGAAAAATCTCGTCTGGTTTTAATTGCGTGTCTTCCTCAAGTGCAATTGTTCCTACTAGGTCATGTTAAAATTTGAATTTGACCCAGGGGAGCGTATATTTTGCAGCAACTAATGTAAGCTAAAAAGAGGGTTGTCGCTAGGTTGCTTTAACAATAAAACTTGCAGCATACAAACAATGCAGATCTACGATCCATATTAAGTATATTTAATTGTATAGGAACATTGAGGGAAGTGCCAAAACAAGAAAATTTTGCATTTCGTTACCCATCAAATGCATGTTCAGAAGGGTCACTGAGAGAAAGCTAGTAAGATGAATCTTTCGGAACTTACACTCTATATTTTGTTTTTGAAGTTTTTCTAAAGGCTATATAGGACTACCGGCAGCTGTCTCTCCAGGCATCCAGTACTGAAGGTTATTTATATTTACCAGTATTTAACTTCTCAAGGAGTAACTCTGTACATGAATTATCTGACCAGTGTTAGATCTGCAGTTACTCCATCTCAGGTTTTAACACCAAAGTCTTGGAGGCTCGTTTACAGCTTTCTTAAGGCATAATTATGTGTAGGAATCTCTGCACCCCTGTGTTTCATGGCTTTTTCCCCAAACCTACTTTCCATCTAAACCAGCTTACTGTCTGTGTCACAGTTTACAAAGGGCTTGTCACAATATGGAATGTCATCTGACTCCCGCAGTGCTTGTACTCCAGATTTTTTTTATCACCTGAGTTGTACTGATCTTAATAATATAAATGTATATAAAGAAGCAGTGATGGGCTTGAAGTTAGACTTCAATCACTGATTTAGCTTCCCTAGTAGGGCTGTATTATTCAGAGTAATTATCCAGTGTATTTCTTTCAGTGCTGTATCTTGCACCCAGATTTCCTCTCATCCTTATCTTTTCTTGTTCCTTTCATGTTAGGGTACATAATGCAAAATTTGGACAATACTCCTTAAAATAAAGTAATTTGTCTTGGGGGTTCTGCAGTTTGTTCATGGGTTTTTTGTTTGTGTGTGTGTGATTTCTTACAATTTCTTTCAGGGATACTGCTGGCCAGGAACGATTCCATACACTTAGCACTAGCTATTTTCGTGGCGCACAAGGATTTGTTCTTGTATATGACATCACAAATCTGGACAGTTTTCAAAGTATAACAAGCTGGATGAAAGACATACATGAGGTAAATATATCTAACAGTGGTTGATCTCTTAATGATTTACTGCAGTTAATGTTTTAAATGACTGCATGAGATTTATTCTCATTCCTCAAGCTGCATGTTTCTAACCAGAATTTCTTACATTTAACTCAGCACACAGTATGGTGGTAGGATTACTCTTATCTGAAACTGGAATACAGTGTAGATTTTCCAGGACAAGTCCATGGTGATGCAGGAGTGTTTTCTGAAGTACTTTTAAAACATAGCTTCCAAGCAGGTTTTGGGCATGCTGAGTTATGGTACTTTAATCAGTGGTGTGGCTATGTTCAAGCCAATCTGCACGAGCTCATCCCAGGATTTTAATTGGCTTCCTTGTCAAAATTCCGTATCGCAGCCAGTGATTTCGCTTTCCTAATTTCATTGCTTTAGTGTAGTTACCACATCCCAAGAATCAAAAGAAACAAATCAAATTGAAGATCCTCTTGTCCTTGCTGGATATTCCCTTTGAGAGGATGGTTTCAAGAGGGAGGAACTAGGGGAAGAAAAGGAGAATCTTTTTTTGGTGGCAGTGAGCTGTTTGGTTAGCTCAGCTGCTTGTGGTACTGCAGCCAGAAAAACATGCTTTCTTTCATATGACATAGGAAGTGATTCAACAGCACGTGGCTGCCAGACAGGGAGTGTGTTCCCACCACCCTCCCTGCTACTGAACGTGTGCCCCCACTGTGCTGCTTCTGGAGCTTGTCAGAGCCCTCTGAGGCTCCTTCTCACTCTCTAACGTGGTAGAAAACTCACAGCAAAAGCAGTTGGATGGTTTTTTGCTCCATCAGGGGGTTTAAGAGGTTCATGAAAAGGTTTGACAGTTACTGGAGTTAGTGTAAGGTAAACAGGTAGGAGGAAGAGGACCAGGAGAAGAAAGTGTGGGAACAGTGTGAGGCAGGAACTAGGGAGGGAGGAGTGGGCAAGCCCTTAGACATGAGGTCATTCAGCTGTCTGTAACCCTGTACTCTGAGTCTTTATTACTAGGTCTCTCTTGATGTGTTCTCTGTTAGGTAGAGGCAGGTCAATTTTAGAATACTGGAGAAGGGATCTACAGCAATCATCTAGTCCAGCTGCCTGACCACTTCAGGGCTAACCAAAAGTTAAACCATGTTATTAAGGGCATTATCCAAATGCCTCTTAAACACTGCCAGGCTTGAGGCATCTACCACGTCTCTAGGAAGCCTGTTCCAGTTCTTGACCACCCTCTCGGTAAAGAAATGTTTCCTAATGTCCAGTCTAAACCTCCACTGATGCAGCTTTGAACCATTCTGATATGTCCTATTGCTGGATACCAGGGAGAAGTGATCAGCAGCTCCTTCTCCAATTCCCTTCCTCAGGAAGCTGTGGAGAGCAATGAGATTGCCCTAAGCAAGCAAGTTTGTAGTTAGAATGCTTGTATAAGTTAGTATGCTTGTGTAAGAATCCAAGCAAGCTAGTGCTCTTTGTAGATTAAAATCAAGTAAACATTCAGGCAGTTTTTGTAATACTCTGTGAATTGGTAGGAATATGACATGATGGGTGGGAGAGTTCATCTTGGGAAAGCGGACTTGAAATAAAACCATCAAATGCATCCTTTTCTGTCTTCACAGCTTCAGTATACGGATGAATTAATGAACCACATTTGGTCATATATCCAATAATACATACATAGGATATTTTATACCCTTGGTAAAACGTTACATTTACATTACCTCAGTATTAAGAACCTTACTATGGTGACCTAGTATGTCGTTTATCCTTGATCTTAGACCCACCTTAAAAATCTTAGTGGCAACAGAGCCTAACTTCAGTAATGTGTTACAAAGGAGATTTGATGATACAATATTCTTACTGGCTTGTCTGCACATACTTCAAACTAACACACATTTTATTACTTCGTTAACAAAAATGTGTGCCCTTTGCCTGTTAGGCAAACCAACAAAAGTCACAGCTAGATATGTCACTGGTTTTACACATCACATGATTAGCTAAGACTTAACCCAGCACACAGTATGATAGTAGATTTACTGTTATCTGAAGCTGAAAATGTAAATTATCCATATATATTCATTTATACACATCACTCTATATATGCATATATCTATATATCTGTGTGGATAAATTTATTTATAAAAAACTGATCTGTCTCCACACTTCCTCCAAAGGGGTCATTTTGTCCTGTCATCTTTAATTAGATCAACTGGGTGGTTGATTCAGTGGGCTACAATTCACAACCATAAACACAAAGAAAGTAGCAGGACTGTATGGCTAGGGTGGAAGGAAGGATGGGACTTGTAGCCACCGTGCAGGCTTAGATCTGCTTCAGTCAATCAGGAAATCACACTTGCACAAACCTGCTTTCTGTTTGTGACATTTAAAAACTTTAATGTAAACATACTCAAGCTGTTAGTATTTAGATTGTTTAATCTTAACCCCTGAAGGTACTTTGTTAGTTTAAAATTTTAAAAAATGGAAAAATACACAATTTAAAACAATTTCTGGGAATGTAAATTGCATGATTGATTGTACCAATCTCAAAAATAGCAATTAGTGACTGTTGTAATAGAGCTAGATAATAATAAAAAATTTAATTCAGTCCTAGTGAGATATCAATTTCTGATGTGTCTTGGTGAAAATATATGGGGCCATTCATTGCAAAAGAAATGTTTTTAAGCAATAACTGTTAAAACACAGGGCATTTCATGAAAATTAATTACTTACTGGAGGTTGGTGACATTCCCTGCATTTGCTTTGGCCTGTGAATGCAAACGAGTATTTAATTCCCCACAAATGCCCAGTATCAAAGTGACTGTTACTACAGCACCCTTTAAAATATGCAAGTGTAGAAAAATTAAGTAAAATATAAAAAGGGAAACGGATACATGTTTCATTAAACACCAGACTAATAGGTAATGTAAAGCTTGCACTTGAACCAAACAGGATTTTTGAGATAATTCACTTATTATATTACACTCTCTTTTTAAATTCTTTGTACATGGAGATTTTAAACAGAAAGTTTTTTTAAAATCTGATCAGTGTGCTAAGCCATTTTTACAACAGTTGAAAAGCAATTTAGCATTCCTAAAAACTCCATTGATTTTATAAAAACTGGTCAGTCAGTGCTATTACAATCAGATTACCAGTAACGCTCTTATTGTATTTCAAGTATTTTAAGTGTGGAATAGAGCAACTTTCTTATTAAAAATGAATTATTGTTCAAGGAAGTTCAAGACGCAAATATGCAACCATATCTGTCTTGTTTTCATTTGTATTCAGAACTAGAGGAAACTAAGTAACATGACTGTACTTAAAAAAGCTTGCTAGAAAAATGTACTCACAGATTAATATCTTGGGATGTTATTGGCAAATCCAGTACAGGTATATTTGATTTGTAATGCACTCATTAGGAGCATGATAATTGCAGGAAAATTACTTGGAACCTGAAACCATTCTTTATTTGTAGGATTGCGGGTCATGTCCAATTTATTAAGGTGGTGTTCTTGTCTGCTGACATGGTGTTTAGCTGTTGTATGCAGCTGTTCTGAAAGGCTGGTTCTGTTTGGCCTTTAAAAATTAAATAGAAGTAACTGTGTACCAAATCCATGTGCAGAAAACAGTTCTTTCCAGGATGTTTTGAACAAGATTCCAGCTAACTTATTGGCAAAAAGGTCCTCACAGTAGAGTGGTCAAATGCTCAAACAGGTGCCTGGGAAGATACGGAGATACTTAAAACTCCATTCAACAGAGCCTTGAGCCAGCAATGTGCTCTTGTGGCCAAGAGGGCCAATGGTGTCCTGGAGTGCATTAAAAAGAATGTGGCCAGCAGGTTGAAGGAGATCATCCTTTCCCCACTACTCTGCCCTGGTGAGGCCACATTTGGAGTACGGTGTCCAGTTCTGGGCTCCTCAGTCCAAGAAACACAAGGAACTACTGGAGAGGGCCCAGCGGAGGGCTACAAAGAGATCAAGGGAATGGAGCATGTCTTTTTTGAGGAAAGGTTGAAAGACCTGGGTCTGTTTAGCCTGGAGAAGAGAACACTGAGAGGGGATCTCATCAATGCTTATAAATATCTAAAGGGTGAGTGTCAAGAAAATGCGGCCAGACTCTTTTTAGTGGTGCCCAGTGACAGGACAAGGGGCAACAGGCACAAACTGGAACACAGGAAATTCCATCTCAACATGAGGAAAAACTTCTTTACTTCGAGGGTGGCAGAGCACTGGAACAGGCTGCCTGGAGAGGTTGTGGAGTCCCCTTCTCTTTAGATATTCAAAACCCACCTGTATGCATTCCTGTACAACCTGCTCTAGCTGAACCTGCTTTGGCAGGGGGGTTGGACTAGATGATGTCCAAAGGTCCCTTCCAACCCCTACCATTCTGTGATTGAGCGACCTGACCTGACTTTGAAGTTGGCCTGTCTTCAAGCAAGGGGTTACACCATGTGAATTCCAGAAGTCCTTGCCAACCTAAATCACTCCATGCATGGCATCTGGGTCTCCAAAAACTTGACATAGATGGTAGGTCCTAGTTTTCTTTTAAATACGTTGGACTGGTTTTCATTGTGCTAGTCTCCTGGTGTGGCCATGAAAGTAGCATTACTGGTTCCTAACAATTATCTCTATGCTGGAAATTCTCTGCTAGCACAGAATTTTCTGCATGGAGAAAATAAATTCCTTTTCTCATGCAGTAGCAAGTCTTGGTGACATAATTTAGTGTTCTTGGAATACATTAGCTTTCTGTTTGTACTACCTGAAGAAGTGACCCCTCAACCAGCATATGAAATGTGTAAGTGTGTTGGGTTACTGCCATTTTTGCATCATCCCCTTTTCTGGTTCTGTTTGTTTGATGCATCTGAGAGTTGGGGTACTGGACTGTCTTTCGGTGTTTCTGCGTCATACTTAAATAAAAGCGGCATGGCAAACTGCTTCACAAATGTTGATTATTTTGACTTCAAACTCTTCTGAGTTTTTCTTCCTCAGATGGAAAAGCTTGGTGTCAAAAGGATCAAA